CCAGCCAGGAGTCTTGCTTTCAATGGTCAAAGGCTCTTTCCAGGTTACTGGTGATACGGGCAGGGTTCTTTCAGATATGTTCATTTCTTTCCTTCAAATAGGCGGCTGCATAACTTGCAGGCCTGAAAATGCAGGATCCCTTACAGAGAAAGGTTACGAATTTCAAGATGGTGACAGCAGAGCATAGGGCCCTGGTGACAGAATAGGTCACACATGCATGAGGACAGCTTGGCTCCTTCTGCTTGGTGCAGGTCCCACCCCCTCTGTGCCCCATTGCACAGTAGCATCACCTGCAGAGCTCTAGACAGTACGCACGCTGCTGTACTTGGATCGGGGGTGTCTCCCAAAGGCCCCTGCAGTGAAGGCTTGCGTCCCAGCCCGTGGCACTACTGGGAGGCAGTGGAAACTTTAGGAGGTGGGGCCTAGTGGGAGGGAGGGAGGTCATTGGGGAGTGCCCCGGAAGTGGTACTAGAGTTCTGGCCCCTTCCTCTTTTTACTTCCTGGTCACCATGAAGTAAACAGGCCTCCTGGCAAGATGTTCTGTGCTGTCACAGTCCCAAAGCAACAGAGCTAAGTGGCCATGGCGGAAACCGGAAACAGTGAACCAAGACAAGCCTTTCCTCCTTTGAGTTATCTCAGGTGTTGTGTCACAGTGGTAGAAAGTTGACCAACACAGATACATGGGCCCCACCCCAGAGAGGGATTCCACAAGCCTGGAGCTTCCTGGGGGATGGTCCAGGTGAGTATGGCTGGGAACCATTGGCCAGAGCTCAACTCCTTGGCCACCCTGGAAGGCAGCCATGAGCCAGCACCCCAGAGGCAAAGGCAATGCCAGCAAAGCCCTGAGATGCATGCGTGTGCACACCTCAGGGGCTCCAGATCCGATGCCAGATGCTCCACAGGAAAGCCACCCCCAACCTTAATGGTCTTCATTACTACTCCGAAGACACAACACTCACACAGGCCCAACGTCTCCTTCTGGTCTTACCCAAGGGAGATACCTCCCAGGATCTTTATAGATGACTGCGGCTGTGAGATTTAGTGGGGAGGCGAGCAAGTTTCCAGGGGTACTAGGGGGAAGAGGTGTGTCCTTCTGTCCTGGCTGGCTGCCACTCTGGACCACCTGCTGGAAAATATGGGGTAAGGGAGAAGGTAGACAGAGCCATCATCCCAGACGGCCATAAGGTTGCAGTACTAGTTCTTGGCTTTATCTTCTCCTTCCCCTAAAAAAAAAGAAAAGGAGAGGAAGCAGAAAGAAGACATAGCAGGGGTAAACCGACTTCTGCTTTTGTTGTAAGTTGATAGCTTTTATCATTAGGACCAATGCCTGACACAGTCCATTTCAGAGATGAGCAATCCAAAAATGAGAGGAAGGATGCCAGCCAGCCAGCACTGCCAGAGGCAGCGCTCCTCTGCCTCCTCCTTTAACCCCACCAGCTTGTCACAAAAGGTGGCATCTAAAGCAATGTGTCACCCCGATGACACTCTCTGGCAGGGAAAGACGGGGGGGGCAGCAGGTGCAGTTGAGGTGGGCCCTAAATTTCAGCGATCAAGATAAATACCCTAATGCAATTGTTTCAAAACCCAAAATGAATGCAAAAAAGGCCCACAAACAAAACCTGCAAACTTCTAAACAAACACGGGGTGGAACTCTTCGCTTACACAACCTGCCTCACCCCTCTGCCAGGCCAACTTCTGATCAAACCCGTTTACAAGAACAAAGTGAATTCCCCAGGATCGCACAGACACAAAGCGATGAGCCGGGGGGCCTGAGTTTACTGATTTTACTAAGATAGTGCGTTAAAGCATTATTGCCTGTCAGCCAGGTGTGGTGGCACACACCTGTAATCCCAGCACTCGGGGCAGCTGAGGCAGGAGGATTGCAAGTTCCAACCCAGCCTGGGCAACGTAAGTGAGACTGTCTCAAAATAAAAACTTCAAAGGGCTGAGGGTGTAACTCAATGCAAAGGCCCTGGGTTCAGATAAAGACATTTTTGCTTCCCTCCCAGCCCTGAAAGGACGGAGGCCGGTGGAGGTGAAGTTCGTGGATAGCACCTGGCCCAGTGTGAGGTCTCTAGTGTCACTCTGTCATGCTGGCAAGAGGAATCTAAGCTCAGCCTGTTTTTCTTTTTTTTTCTTTTTTTTGGTTTTTTTCTCCGGTACCGGGAACCGAACTCACGACCTTGCGCTTGCCAGGCAGGCGTTTTGCCGCTGAGCTAAATCCCCAGCCCCTCACCCTGTTTTTCTTAAGAAATTAAATTCAGGGATAAAGAAACAAAATTCCTTCTGGAGTATCTGTGCAAGAAAACTCCAGCACAGGGACAAGCGGATGTGACCTGGAGTTCTGCTCTCTGGGGATGGTACGGCTCAGCTGACTATAGATGAAGAGGGTCTCATTCTTCTCAGTACCTGCCCCGGAACTCACCTGCCTGTTGCATAAAGCAGTGCATGCTTTAGTAGGTCTAAGAAATTCAGTACTTGCCACGTTCCTCCAATTTCTTTTACCCTAGGCTGACCGTCCTGTTGCTTACACTCAGGGGTCAGCGAGCTGTGGGCCTCCAAATCATGGCCTGCTTTTGTGAAGCTGTGTGTGTGTGTGCGCGCGCACGCATGCACAAGCACGTGAGATACTGGGGGAACTGAACCCAGTGACTTTATACTGATCCCCATCCCCATCCCTTTTCTGAGAAAGGGTTTCTCTCAGTTGCCCAGCCTGGGCTTGAATTTTCTATCCTCCTACCTCAGCCTCGCGGAAAGCAGGGATTACGGCGTGTACTGCTGTGCTCAGTTTATCAGTAAAGGTTTATTGGCACGCAGTGACACCCCTGCCCGTCCCTGTTCTCTATAGCTACTTAGCTACGGCAGCAGAGTGCAGCCATTGTGCCGCAGCAGCGGAGGCGGACAGAGCTGAGTCGTCCCCACAGGGAACGGGGCCAGAAATCCCCAAATATTTACTACTTGGTCCTTTCCCAAAAAAGCTTGCCAAGCCCTGGCCCAGGTGAAGTCATTCAGATTAACTCCACAAACGGGGGCTGGGGCAGACACAACCACCTTTACTACTAAAGCTGCTTCCCCGATGGGGTCCAGAACCATCCATACAATGTAAGTCTCACCCCAGCGGGTGTAGCCTGTTCACCTCCAGCCCCTGCATGATTTTATTTAACCCCGTTCACCGCCACTTTCTAATTTTCCTGCCTGTAAAATGGGTTAAACCACCTCTACTCCTGCACGTTTCCTAGCGCTGTTTCCCTCAGAGCTCACTTTTTTCTAAACCCCCAAATTCCCACCAGTCTGCGGTGCCGGGAACTGAATCCAGGGCCTCTTGCATGTTAGCCGAGTGCTCTACTGCTGAGCTACATCCCCAGCTTAAAAAAAAAAAAATTGCGGTAGGTTTTGTTAAAGTTGCCGGGCAGGCCTTAAACTCACGACCCTCCTCTCTTGTCTCCCTGAGCAGCTGGGATCATAAGCCTGTGCCGTCACACCCAGCTGCCTTACCCTCTTAACTACAATCTTCGCTGTGCTTTTTTTACAAACCCTACTTGTGTCTCTGCCAGAAAGTTCAGCCTCTTTTAGTGCGTTCTGCAAGTCACTCTCACCAATTCAGATTCAAACGCTACACAGGTCAGCTTGGCAAATCTGATCTGCCGCCTCCTTTTGGAGACATTTTATTGAACATGGACATGTTCTTTTCCCCTGCAGCCTCTAGTTGCTCTTGTGCTAAGGCTACAGGGCTGAGTGGTTACAAAACAGACTTTAGGGCCCACAGTGTCCAAAATATTTAATACCTGGTCTCAAACTTTCTGTTCCCATCTGCTCTACTGGGAATGCAAATTTGCTAAGTGATACCAGATTGCATGTTGAAGTCCACATAGCTGTCAACAAAAACTGCCTCTAAGAAGGGGGGCATCCTTCCTGTTTATCTGAAGCACTATACTATCAGAAACACAAGAGACGTTTGTGGGACTTCCATTGACGAGTTCCCACTTGAAAGGGCAACAGTTTTCTGTTTCTAGAAATGCGGGTAACACTCATGACAAATAGCAGAGAGGCAATAACAGAATCTGCACACTAGCCCTGGCATTCAGTAACAGAGTGCTTTTCGGATCAAAAACAATAGTTCCGGTGCTGGGGATATAGCTCACCGGCATAAGCGCTTGCCTGGCAAGCCTGAGGTCATGAGTTCGATTCCCGGTACCAAAACAAAACAAAAAAACCCACCAAACAATAGTTCCAAAGCAAAGCAATGATGAACTCTACCATCAGTACCTGCGACATTTTAATCTTCTCTTCCTCCACTAGCGGGTGAGCAAAGCACGATGACCTGCCTACTGCAGAACTTAAATGGAGTCAGGACGATTCAAGTCGCTGTCACAAAATAATCTTTCCTATTAAATAACCTCACTGTTTCATAAGCAAAATAGTCCCCTATATTCAATCCGTAACATCCTTTCTTCAGTTTACCGAGGACAAGATTGAGTCCATTTCAAAAGCAAAACAGTGCCGCTTAACGAAGGCACACAATAATTTAGACTAAATAAAGAATTTGAAGAAAAGATGTCAAAATAGAACAAACAAAGCAACTGCAGGTAAAGGATGTCTCCACGGAAACCTATAGCCTCCTGAACTTTAGTCCAAGTGAAAGATCCGTTGATGAGGTTAGATTTTCAGCTGTGCGCTATTCAGCACACACTAAATGCTTTCTGTGATGTTTTACACGTCACACATCCTAGAACCACGCCCAGGGCTTAATGAGGCCCTAGACCTGCCCTCTCCCCATACACGCATGCACGTTTCGGAATTCTACAGCCTTTAGGTGCCGGCTGGGCCAGCGTTAGCTTGATCTTTGGCGCCACCTACAGGTCAGAACGCGTTTCACTTCATTGCGGGACTCTGCCAGAAAGCCTACAGAACGTTTATCAAATATTTGAACGGGGTGGGGGAGCGGATGGAGACTCCCCTACCATAACCCGTGTAGAGAGGAATGTCCATCAGTCTGCAGATGAATTTGCCCTTTTATTATAAAACATAAAAGAAACCGCACAAACGTATCACTGGTAACCATCCAGGTGAAGAAATACAACTTTCCCAGTCACTGCGGACCCTTCACGCTCCCGGTTCTCTTAACCGGGCCCACCGCACACATCAGTTTAGCTTGAGATTTCTATGCTGTCTAACTAGGTTAACGACTCCGTCAGAGATGATCACTTTTAAAGTCGGCATCCATCACGAAGAGGCTCTCCTTACCGGACAGATCCATGCTCAGTGGACCCTGTATCTGAACGAGCAAGGCCACTTGCCCAGGTACTTCTTGTAGGGAACACAGAGCTAAGGAGAAGGGGCCCGCAGCGTAGCTCTGGCCTAGGCCCTCGTGTCACGTGACATCAACCACTGGTGCTGGAGGCCAGAACTGATGGCCAAAGTCTACCTCGATGGCCTCGCAGTGGTACCCCCAACCCCGGCCACACTAGAGGTCATGGCTGGGCTCCAGTGGCACCTCGAGCTGCCCGACGGAGACCAGGGGGCCAAGCTGCACTGGGGTGCTGCTTTCAGGAGGGAAGGTGACCAAGTTCGAGTTCTTGCTGTCACTCTGGTCACTATGCTGCTTCCTGTGGCATCTCAGAGAGTCGTCCCTGACAAAGGACGCCCCACACGTCTCACAGCGGAAGGCCCTCTGGGTCACTATCCTGGCCACGGGGTGGGAGCCACTTTCTCTCGGTGCCTCCTTGCCCTGCGGGGCCCTGTTCTCCGTCTTGGCCTCGTCCTTATGCACCTTGTCAACGTGCTTGGCCAGGCTGCTGGGCCGCTTCGTGTCGAAGCTGCAGAAATCGCACTTGAAGGGGCGGTCCTTGCAGTGGACCCGGCTGTGCACGCGCAGGGCGGCCGCGCTGGAGCAGGAGTAGCTGCACTCGGGACACTTCTCAGGGTGGTCAGCCTGGTGCAGCCGGCTGTGCTCCAGCAGGTCGGCTCGGTCCCGGCCCTGGAAGGCGCAGTGCAGACACTTGAAGGTGTGCTTGATGCGGATGTGCGACTTGAGGTTGGCCTTCATGGTGCAGCGGACGTCACAGAACTCGCACTTGAAAGGCTTCTCCCCCGAGTGGACAATCATGTGTCTTTTCAAGTCCGAGCTGATTTTGAATTTGGCACTGCAGAGCCAGCACTGGAAGGGGGTGTCCCCTAGCAACGGAAGGTGGGTTCCCATTAGAACAGGCAGCAAAACGGAACTCCCCCCAGACATGCACCAGCACACAGAGCCACGGCAAGATGAGGGGGTCTTCATACTCATTAGTGAAATAAATCAGATTCACAGGAGTAAACCTTGTACTTCCCCCCTACTATAAGAACCTGAGAGAGTAAATAAAATCTGAAAGGTACAATCAATATTGTAAAAGGGAAAAGAAACTGCTCAAATAGGAAGGAGCAACTGGGATGAAGGAGGGGAGAGGAAAAAGAAAGAAGCGGGAAAAATATGGATATATAGATACTCAGGCTAGCTAGGATAATTGTACTACTAATATTGAAAGGAACTGTTAGTGTGTAATTGTTTGATCAATCTTGCATGCTTCTATCTGGTTATATGTGCAACCGTTTTGAAGATGACATTGTGTAGTATAATAACCACTGTTAATATCCTGCCACCATGTTTTGAAATTCTGTATCATTTTTATTGCTCTCTATGCTGTTTTCTTTGTATATTTGTTTTTGTTATTTTGGTTTTTTTAAATGAACAACAAAATTTATATGTATATATAAGGATAGCTGGGATAGGTGTATTGCTGATGTCGGTGGTTTATTGACAGAAATAGTCAATGCTTCAAATATTCTTTCTTCTTCATCAGTTTTGCACGCTTGAATCTGGTCATCAGAATGACCGATCTGAAAATAATATGCAGTGTAAGAACCATTATTCAGTTCCTACTATCTTGTATGGTGAAGCTGTGCATCATTTTCGATTCTTTTTAGTTTGTTACTGTCTTTGATTAATCTTACATTCTTATGTCTAATGGATTGAGCAACTTCTTTGAAGATAACAGTATGTAATATAACAGTATGTAATATAGATAACAGTTTTTTAACCATTGTAAATTCCTATCATTTTTTTTTTTTTTTTTTTTTGGTTTTTCTCCAGTACCGGGAACCGAACTCACGACCTTGTGCTTGCCAGGCAGGCGCTTTGCCTCTGAGCTAAATCCCCAGCCCCTATCATTTTGTTTTGAGGTCACGTATCATTTTTGTTGTTCTGTGTTGTTTTGATTTTGTCCTCGTTGTTTTGTCAGTTTTTTAATTTTTAAAATAAAAAATTTTAAAAAACAATAAGATGAGGGGGTCTTGAGAAGCTCAACTATTTGCAATTTCTTGATAATGACAGCACTTACCGTGGGGATTAACAGCACTTGTGCAACATTTCAGGAGTACAATCACCCCCATTTTACAAAGAGGGCAACTGAGGATCAGAGAGGAGAGGTAGCCAAGATCTGAACTCAGGCCTCATGGCCCCCAAGTCCACATTCTTGATGGCACTTGAGTGTGAAATATAAACTCTCATAATTGACTTCTAGGAATGGAATGTGGGGGAGTGAGAAGCTACTTAGCAGTTCTCTAAATACAGCTCGGACTTATGAACATACTTAGAACAGTCTTTGCACTGTATTACACCACTTGTTTGGCTTGTATTACTAAACTTTTTAGTTTTATTAACTACAGACTTGTTTTTTTTCTTTGTTTATAAAATTAACCCATGAGTTTGATAAATAATGAAAGCCATGGCATCCTCTTTAGAGTCCTTTCTCTGCAGACACTAATAAATATTCTCAGGTATTTGGGGGTTTTATTCTGTCACTAGTGGACTACAAGCAGAGCTAAGGGTCTCACGTGTCCTACAAAACCAGCTGCCTCCCACAGGCTGAGGCCTGTGATTCCTGCTCTTCTAGGGTTTTTTTTTTTTTCCCTTTTTCTTTTTTGTGGTACTAGAGATTGAACCCAGGACCTTGTACATTGCCTACATTGGCCTTGAACTTGTGATCCTCCTGTACTCAGCCTCCCACGTAGCTGGGATTACAGGAATGTGCCTCTACATCTGGCCTAGTGTTACCTTCTGGACTGAGTAATAGCCCTAGAGCCTAGTCCATTAGAATGTGGAGTTCTTTGAGGATCTATCCTTCTTCATCACATTAACTTTGTACTCAGTAGGCATAGCTTTATTTTTACATTTCACTTTAAAAAAAAGTCCATTCTGTCCTGTGAATTCTTACCCATAAATCATTCTCAGATTTCAATTTTAAAATCCAACTACAACTAAGTCATATAAGACTGAATATGTGAAACTGTCCAGGGCTAAACTCTGCACCAAGATCACAATCGCCTCCTCACAGGGCCACTGTCATGCCCCGGATGGTGCACAGTGTCGCTACCGTCAAGGTCGAATTGTCCTCTTTCTTTCACACTCTCGCAGAGCTACATTTTAGCTGGCTTTGGGATTACACTGCGTATTTCTTGAGAAAAAAAGAATCTCACATACTCTCAGAAGCCATCCAGTCTCTTAATTATATAACCTTTCCCATGGATTTATAAATGGTTTTCCTGAATTTCTTATTTACTTTTCTCTCTTAACATTGCATCCAAGTATCACCCTGACATTTCTCTTTGCCATGATCCCAGGTAATTATATTTAGATATTCACACAAAAAATATGCCATGCCAGGTTTTGTTTTCACCCTTGTTTTACTAGAGCATATTTTCTAGTAACTTTAATTATAGTGGCTGGGAATAGCATCTTAAGCCCTTGCTTATACTTCAATTCCAGTCTCACACATGAGATAGTTTGGCTGGGTATAGAATTTTAAGTTTGAAATAGTTTCCCTGCTTTGAAGGCTGTTCCACTGCCTCTGGGAACCAACAGTATTAGACATCTTTCTGGGTATGGGTATCCCCTTTTAGCTCACTTCTTCCTGATTGGCCTATTGTGAGTCTTTTTATTCTTTCCAGTCCCTTAGAATTGTGAAAGTCATTTGATTTTCTCATGACTATTTTCTTTCTTTCTTTTTAAGCTTAGTAGGAAACCAAATTTTCAGTTTCTTATTCTTAGTTGTCTAAAAGAATTTTTTTTGCAGTCTCTGGGAAATTTTATTGACTATACAGCTAGCACCCAGTTTTAATTTATGCCTTTGTTGTATGTCTTTATAGAACTCCCTATTGGGAAGCAACATTTCCGCCAGAGATGGGCATCGACTAGAATTTAAAAGTTTTCATCTGTTACCCACATACTTTATTTCCAGGAGTCTTTATTTGCTGGAGTTGGCACACTTCATGACACACGTTTCCTGCAAATGGCTTACAACCCTTGGCTGACCGTATTTAGAAAGGTAGGCAGGTTGAAGGATGAGACACAGGTGTCCTGCCTGCTACCGAGCAGGTTGAACAGTTTTGCCAACAGGCTTTGGCTTTTCCCTGTGTGTGGTGGCCTTATTTACATGCCACTTCCAAATCCGGAGCTCTCAGGGCACTCAGACACGGGCTGGAAGAGCGGCTCCCAACTCCGAGTCTGCCTGCATTTGTCTGCTGTGATATAGCTTTCTGCACTCACTTTTTAATGTCAGCATATTCTTATCTGCTTACCATCGTCCTGAATTCACTGAAATGCTCATTTCATGCGCTTCATTGTGAATGTCCCCATCCTCTCATGTTTCTGGGCCACATTAGGTGGGTCCTGTCTAGCTGCCATTATTTCAGTGAAGTCCCACAAAAAGGGAAAGAAAAGCTTCTAGAAGTTTGTGATTTGCAGTTGCACTCAACTGACTTCACTGTATTCTTGAAATAAGCCATGCAATCAGGGTATAAGTGAAAATTACAGACATGTCTAGCATATAGGTCAGACTTTTATTTGAGATAGATCTTCTGTCATTTGGCTATTGTATTGGGCATCCATCTCCAGATGTATTCTGTTTTTTTTTGTTTGTTTGTTTTTCTCCGGTACCGGGAACCGAACTCACGACCTTGCGCTTGCCAGGCAGGCGCTTTTGCCGCTGAACTAAATCCCCAGCCCCCCCACATGTATTCTGTATACTGCAGTTAACCTATAAAACCCAGCTGTCCAGCCGTCTGTTTTACTGAGAGCTATTATTCTGGTAGTGAAAACCCAGACAAGCCACCTAATCACAAATTCTAAGTTCCTCCGCTTCTGCCACCAAGTGATTTAAGTTGCCTACAGCTTAAGTAAATGAAAGTTCAGGCACTAACGAGAAGTGAAGGTCCTGAGTCTCCAGACGGGGGTGTGGGGGTGTGGGGTGGGGCTTACCGGTGTGGGAGCGCAGGTGCACGGTGAGCTGGCTGGAGTTGCGGCTGGCGTAGGGGCAGAGCTGGCACTTGTAGGGCCGCTCGTCCGAGTGGATTCGCAGGTGCTTCTTGAGGCTGCTGCTGTCCACGGCGGCATAGTCACACAGGTGACACTTGTGTGGCTTGACACTTGTGTGGCACCGCATGTGCATGGTCAGGTTGTCTTTCCGGCTGAAGCACTTGTCGCAGAACTCACACTTGTGTGGTTTGTCTCCTTCAAACACAGAAGGGTTCAGAGTTTTAAGGGTTTCCCGACCAGGGTAACCACACAGGTTTGATTAGGAGGAAAAGCTGGGCACATGGGCCTGCTGCCTCCTTCCGTCCGATGCCCGGACACAGAACAATGAAGTCTACATTGGAGAAGGATAACATTTTCATTTTCACTACCTCTAATTATAATTTAGCATTTTGTACAGTTCTGAACACAGGCAATCAACTACGGTGAACGAGTCCTTCGATGTCCACATGAGACAGCGCCCCGTCACATTACACCTGCAGCACTTCTTCAAGTGTCACTTATGCTTCACGGTGAGGCCGGTTAACACCCCGGCCTCTGGAGCCCGACTTTAAGTGTAGGCCAGCTGGGTGCTACCATGCACGCTCATCCCTTGCGTTGCCCAGAACCCCTCACGGTGGAGATTCTGACCCAGTGGGTCTGGTGAGGGCTGGGATCCTGGACTCTAACAGGCTCCCAGGGGGCCTAGTATTGGATAGCAAGGATTTGACACACAAAAATATCATATATTTAACACTTTGATAGCAGTGATGTCAAAATACAGTTTTAAAATACGGCATATCTTATTCAATAAAAAGCATCATTCTGGGAAGGGTCCGTAGGTTTTTCCAAAGTTGCCAGGGATCCATGGCAGAAAAAACATTGATGACAACTTCACCTGGGGGGTCCTGACACGGTTGCTCTGCCTGTGGGGTTCAGGAGAAGTCACAAGCAGCACAGCTGTGACGCTGGGGGGGACACTGTATAAACAACACAGTCCATAGCTGCTGTGTCAGCCTGCTCCACCTGACTTCCGAGTGAGTGCCCAGGACCAAACGAGCTCAGAGTATGTGAGCGATTCTACCGAACTTTCTCGGAAAGTGTGTCCACGGGCCTCTCAGTGCTTAATGACACAGAGAAAGACGTACAAGCCATGCTTGGATTCATCTGATAAGAGGTGCCTGATGCCAAGTGCAGAATTACAAAATAGGATAAAAATATCAAGGCTAGAAGACCATTTCTCCTAGCAGGCTAAATAAATGCCACAGGTCCATTTCAAGAGAGCACAACATTTGAAATTCAATCACCACTCCTGACTAAATACACATGACAATACACATTCCTAGAAGGCCAGGAATAAGAATAAACTTCTTCCCGTGATAAATCATCAGCACAAGAAGGCCAGGGATTCCCAGGGACCCTAATCCTAAATGCAGGCTAAGTCAGGGCATCTTCCTAGTGGGAAATCACACAGAGACGGTTCACTTTCACCAGTGCTCTTCAATCTGGACCCAGGAGCAAAAGCCAAGGTGCTCAAGCTCAAGAGAACCTCCTCAGTTCCCACGTCTGGTCTACCCAGGCAATCCCAAAGAATCCAATTGAACTACTGCAATAATACATGGGAGCACAGCAAGAGGACCAGAGTGAGCACACAACACATTTTAAAATAGTGTCACCCCATCAGCGCTCTATAAAGCTTCTCTGTCATTCTCTCTGACACATCCCCAATCCACACCTTTGCCCTAACGATAACAATATTCCTCTTTCTGAACTGGGCGATGGGGAAGGAGAGTTGGTAAAGGGGAAATTAATGGAATATGCGGTGTCTTGTAACTCACTACTTTAATTCACTATTTCAATTTCAGCCAGCCTGACAAATGAAATACAGTATTTGCATTTAATTTGCACTTCGTTGCTTACGGGTTTTTCATGAGACTACCAGCAGCTCTATTTCATAGGGGCCTTCTTGTATCTTTTACCACTGGAGTTAGTTATCTTTCCTCTGTAGAAGACTTTGCGAGTTCTGAAAAGTGATGCTGCCCTTTGTTACAAATTTCATCTTGTGGAACATTCGTCTTAACTTTTTGTGGGTGTCTGGTTACGTTTTTCTCTTTGATGTAGTCGTAGTTAATCAACTTTCTCCTATGTGGTTTGACAGCTTATGACACAGACTTGTCCCCTGACATTTACAGGCTCGAGTGTTTCAGTTGCTGCGCTTGGAATGGAGAAGTTAAGGGCTGTAATCTTTACCCTCATAGACCACGGACTGGTTCACATCTGTTCCTCTATTTCCCACTGACCTCAAATGCCACCTGAGTTGGGGTTTTAAATTTGCCCTCCCCACATATTTTATTCTCTTTCCTCTCTGCTTATTACAGTTCTACCACCACACTGTTTGAATCCTAGTTCCATGACGCCTTAGTTTCTGATCAACTAAAAAGTCTGACTGTCCAAGGATTTGGTTACTTTTGTGCCTTCTTTCCTCCAGGTGTATTTTGTTATTGAGAACACAGGTGGGATTACTGGTGTGGATATGAACTCAGCAAAAGAAACTCCTGCTGTCACTAAATTCCAACAATATGATTTATTTATCTTTTATCAGAATGATTAGAAAATTTGAAAGCACACATGGGGTGATTGAAATATAGGGTGAACGTTTAAATGTTTTAAATTTATTGCAGTAAAACCCGCTTTGCTCTTAACCCCCTTTAAAAACTGCACACTCACTTTGAGCACATTCATCCCTTCCTTTTTGCTGCTTTCTGAAGCAGCTCTGAAAGTCCTCTTTCGTGGCTTTCTTGTGAAAACAGCAGGGCATGTCCTCATCTACCTTGTTTACCAGATGTGGCCCTATGTGACTTCTAGCTCTTTCTTAAAGTCAAAATGACCACGAAAGGTGTATATTTGGGATCAATTCAGAACATCTGGGCAGCCACAAAAGTGAAACTAAAGATGCTCATGAGAAGATTTCCAGAACAGCTTCAAAGAGTAGCAGGGAGGATAGGACAAGTGTATTTGAAGTGAGAAACAGTATCTTGAGGGGGCTACTGGCATTGTGTTTTGTTGTAATAATTTTTATTTAAACAGTCACTTTATCATACTTCATATCTATGTGATTACATATATAAAAATATATGATTAAGAGATTTAAACTGTTTCTAAATTCTCCATCCAGAAGTAACGTTAACATGAGCCTTCTTGTCAAGATTTTACACAGGAAATAGGAATAAAGTGTTTTATTCTGTTCCTGCCCTCTTCCACAGCCTACTCTATTTCTATTACGTGATTAGAGACATCCCTAATCCACCAACATGATGGTCTAAAAGTTTTGAATTTCCTTTAGAATTTCCACAGTGGGATACTCAACTAGTAGAGTCCATGCAAATATTCTAAAATGTTAAAAGCTCCAAAATCTGAAATACTTCTGGCCCAAGCATTTCTGAAAAAAATGACATTTAACCTACATTTAATTTTTCTCAGGTGATCAACAATATTAACAAAGTGGATTTTTTCCCTATAGTATAATGAAGTGGATCAATGTTAGGAAAAAATTGCATAAGTTGGTGAGTATTTCCCAAAGGACTAAGGCAAGATGTGACAAAGCACTGGTAAGAGCCATTTGAGGTGCAAAACAGATCAACAAATTTAAATTTAAGTTTGAAAAAGTTACTGCGTAGCTGCAGATTCTATACACCAATGGATCTTTACGAAATCACCCTTTGTTGTGTTTTGGGACAACCATTTCTAACATGAGAGCTTATATTTTCTTCATATATATCTATGTCATTGTCAACTAACATGACACACTGCAATGGATTGCATACGAACACAGATGCCAAAACCTGGCCAACTGTTAATTCAAGGCCAAATAAGAGACTTGCAAAGGTATAAACAATGCTACTTTTCAATACATTTTGCCTTAAAAAAAGATACTTTTCATAACAAATGTTATTTTAATATCTAATGGTTTATTATTTTCAAATGGATCTTCTCACGTTTTAGTTTTACTTTCTAACACTGCAACTATGATAGAATATAAACAAAACTTGATGGGAGCCTTCAGGTTTTAAGTGTAAAAGGATCCTGAAACAGGGGTCACAAGGGACACTACTTCTGGGTCATGCCCTGAGGGAGGGATGCCGTGAGCTTTCCAGGCCCATCTCCTACTTTCCATTCAATGGCCCAAGGGTCGGGGAGATAGCTCAGCAGCACAGTGCCTGCCTGGCAAGTACAAGGGAGTTGGATTTCCGGTACAAAAAAAAAAAAAAAAACAGCAACAAAAGAAAAAGCAATTCTGGGCAGCAAA